GAGGTTCAGCGTATGTATTTATAGCACCTTCTGTCTGTCCCTCCCAAACTCCATTGGAGAGTCCACGAGCTGTTTCTGTGTTCTCGGATATGCTTTGAGCACTTGAAGCCAACATGATTAATCTTTTCTTTTCCTTGGAGCTCCCAAGACACCGCCCACAATGTGCCTGCCACGCTGTAATGCCTACCAGAGTCATCATTGTGAATAAAGCATAAGGGTATTGTGCTCTGCCATCATGGTTAGACCCAAGTTGTACACCAAGCCACCAATGTGAATTAGAGTACACAAAACAGAGCTTTTACTCCAGGCTGTGGCTAAAACGGAAGGAATACAAGCAAAAAAATCAAACTCCAAGTTAAACGATGGTGTTACTTTAACAGCAGCTTTGGCCCCATCGTGCTGGATGCGCAGCCGCCTCCATAGAGGAGCGACGAAGCAAATCCAGCAGCAATTTCGATTTCCCAACCATCCACGCCGCTGTGGGCAGCCTTTACATCCACATACAATTACTGGGCTCAGCCATGCTCAGCCACACACTTGCAGCACTTCCAAGCACAGCTGCTGGGGTTCTTTTTTAACCCTTTCAAGCTGTGTGGCTTACTCTCCCAGAGCTCGGGTCTGTAGGAATAGAGAGAAGATGCAAGACCAGCAGAATATATACCTGCTTTTCCCCTACTAATTCTCCCAGAGGCAAAGAGCCAATAACTAAGTCAAACCACAAGCCCTGCTCTCTCCATTAATGAGAAACTGTCTATTTAGCCTGCAGACTTTAAAGAGGAGGGAGAAAAAGCACCTCTGTAAGATGCACTCGATGTCGTTGCACTCATGCCAGCATTGAACAAACGCTGCTCTCCTGGCTTTGAAAAGGTGAGCAGCTTCCAGTGTTCACGCAGCCGCTGAGCTAAAGGGGTATCGGGCTAATTCTGACCAGCCAGCAGCCCACGGAAGGGCTGTCTTGCTCTGCACATTCATCACCCTCCAAGAAATAATCCTTTGAACAAATCCCAAGGCTAAAAGCTGCAGCGGCAGCGGAAAATAGCGAGCAAGAATGATGGCTGTTCCTCTGCCCTTTAGCAAGAGACTGATAGATTTCAGACCTGCCTTGGTCTTGTTGGAGGAATTAACCTCTTCCCGCCTGTCTCCCACCTTCTTATCACAGATCTTCCATCACTCACCCTAGACTGAAGCGTTTCACTCTGGCCTGTGACAGACAACTCGTCTTAAAGAAGTGAGGGTCAGGGACTGCCCCTTCCCAAGAGGCAGGGAATGGAAAGGCTCGGGGACAGGAAGAGATATGACATCACCCTCCAAGCATGAGCTGTGACGGGAAAAGGCCTGTCTGAGCGTATGTCTATAAGCCAAGTGGTTTATGGTGATGGAAAAATTCATCCTATGCTACTTATCTGCAGCATTTCCAAACTGGGAAATAGAGGTATGTATGTTGTCCAATGAAAATAAACTCAGCTCAAGGGCTATCACGTTGCTTTTAAAAGAGTGTGAACTCTCTGCCTGTCGGATTTGAGGAAGGAAGGCCAGATCTGAGCAAACGTCAGTTTGCACAGCCCCTCCGAGCTGGAGCCCTGTCAGAATGAAGTCAGATGTTGTCTTATACCTGCTGGCTTTCCACACTAAACCTTCACAGCACTTGGCAGACCCAGAGAGCTTAGCACTACAGGGGCTTTAAGACGCTTTCTAAATGATGAATTTAAGATGGTCTTGTCTGTCCCTGGCAGTGCACACACAGAGCTCCCTGTTACAGGCAAAGGAAATCCAAGTGTGATGGCACACGTTTGGCCATGGGTTAACCAGGCTGCACAAAGCACATCTTTCCCCCCCAATGCTTGCATCAGGAAAGCAGAATAAAACTGCTGCTCCTGCCTGCCGCAGCTCACACCCCGACAGATGAACGTCCACCGACATCAGCGCCGGCTCCTGTTCATCTGCTGGCTGTAAGAACATCGGTTTGCAAACGGTCAGATCCACGTGGGGATCATTATGGTCGTTGCTAGCTAGTGTGGGAAAGCAGCACTGGAAGGTGCCGTTGAATACTTCAGCTCTGTGCATCTTCTTACACCAGGCCTATTTGGAGTCAAGCTTGGTTTTAAGAGCAGCTTAAGGGTAAACTGAAATATCTTCCACCAGACATCTCAGTGGGAAACAAGTACTGGTTGAGCTCCGTCAGTGTAATAGCCAAAGCCAGCAGGACTGGCAGAGAGACTTGACCACAGCATTGCTGCTCAGCAGAAAATTCCCAGCCCCTCAAGCCCTGATCTCATTCCAAAGAGAAAACATCACTTGGGGAAGCTTTGGGCTACAGACTAAAGCACCCAGCAGCTTACCAAACAATGATGTTTCCTCTGATGAATGCGAGGTATGATGTGCAGAATTCCCAGGCACGTTAGAGAGGGCAAAGACTTTCAACTTGCTCTCACACAAGCCTTTTGACCTCCCTGTTTTGGGGTTTATGACCCTATGAGTAACCCTGCTCATCATCTTTGACTCAAACTATGTCACAGCAGCTGCTCATGAGATAAAGCAAAGATTAAGAAGAGTAGGAAAGCTGAGAGAGGGGGAGAGAGTTTAAACATTTGACAGCTAGCTGTGACTTAAAAGTACTTCCACAATGGCATCTTAACAATTTATAGCACATCATCTTTAGCCTTAATCCTGCTGCAATGAAACCAGCAGAAAAAGAACCCTTCAGCTGCCAGTGATCTTCTAGGAACCATAAGAAAAATCAGCTTGGTTTTCCAGAGTAGAAGCAACAGTACAGTACTAAGTTGTTCAAAAAATACAGGCAGCAATAGGGAGGGGAGCAGCACGCACACACGGACACGGGTCTGACAGCAGCCACTGCCCAGAAAACGCAACACTATTTTCTACCACCAGGACAAATCGCAAGGACAACCAGGCTGACAGCTCCCAGCTTAGTGCAGGTACTTCAAAACAAAGCTATTTTTCTATTTTACTAAACACCCCCACTCCCTCCCCCCCCCAGTTCAGTGTCCCTAGTCACCAGTGCCTGTTAGCAATTGCTGTGAATGCTGTTACTTGTCACATCAGTGGACGCCTTCATCCATACACAGCTCCCAAGAGCTGCCAGAACATGGGGAATACGACCTCTCTTACACCTATTTCTCCCGAGTGATCCTGTTGATGTGTTAGGCTTCTGCTACATGAACTGCTTCAGTCTCATGATTCATTTTACTTATCCTGCGTGAAGCTTAAACACCCACACAGCATCAGCACAAGCTAGCCCTCAACTACCCAGTGTGTTCATCTCATTAGTCAAACTCCAGTGCTTAGCTAATGGAAAAGCAGAGCCCTCCCAAGCTTTTATGATTAATATCTGAAGCATCTCAGAGTGAAGTGACCTCCGTCTAGACTAAAGCATCTTTTCTTCCAGGCCTCCGTTTTGAGGATTCACTTTGTGGCAGCACGCGTCTGCCAAAGCCAGCACTGATGTTCCATGATCTCGCCTCATTCCCCGAGCAACAACAGTGCCACTGATGGAGGCAGCTCGGGATCCCTCCGGAATGCCTCCTTTCCCTCCTTAGCCAAGCGAAGCAAGGTCAGGGCAAGGAAGAGAATTTCAGCTCTCGTATCCCATACCTGCACCCTTGCGCGGGAGCCGAATGCTGCCTGCCCCCCCATGCCAGGTGCTTCCAAAAGCCTCAGCAGGGCAACAAAAGGTTGGACCGAGCGTCGTCTTCCCCTGCCAAATAGGCTGCACCGCGTGAACCTCCAATGGAAAAATCTGGTAGAAGAAAATGCTGGGAGACCCTTTCTAACTCAGGGCCTGTGAAGTAACTGCTAGAATAATTTTGTTTTAAAGTGATAAAGAAGGCTGCAGATCATGAACAAAGCCAAGATTCAGCCATGGAAACTGCACTGTGGTATGCGATACATCCTGGATTCCCCGTTTGCTTAATCTATGATTTGACTGTGGTTACTGGATAGGCTCTTTTGATGAATTTTTACCGAGGGCAACCACTGAATTCGCATACTGAAACATCAGAGCATCTGAAACAAAGGGGCTGTTAGCCGAGTCACCACAAGCACTTGCCAACCTGAAAAGCTGAAGGAAAAAAGGCCATATTCTTTTCTCTTTGAAGAGCTCAGCTCCACTTCTTTCCAGCCCAGCATTCCCCCAGCTCTTTATTCTGCAGAAATCGAAGAAGTTCCCTGGAAGGCGATTCAAGCATTTTGCTTATTTCCCCAGGAGTCTCAGCCTCAGCCTAGCAGCCTAACCCATTCTCAGCCCAGAGCCTTTCCCCCAGCGACCAGCCCATGTTTTCCGCTCTTCAATTCCTTTCATCACTTCCAGTACTAATCCCCCATTCCCGCAAACAATTCCATACAGTTATCGTGGTTGCCTCATCATTGCTTAGTCAAACTATGCAAAAATCTCGCTATATCTTTCCTTATAAATCAACCCATTTCAAGCCATGGTTGTAAGCTCTATTCGCCTCCAAATCCAGCCCTACCAGATGACCCCCACTGCTACACCAGAGACCTCCAGATTGCTCCCAGTACCAAAAGGGAGGCACCAGGGGAAAGCAAACTCAGTAATTTAGTACTAGAACAAAGTCACCCAAGTGTAAGATCTATGAGTACAGCACATATCCTGTCTCTCTAACACATTTTTAGAAATACAATACACCAGCTTTCAATCCTGAAAATTGATTGCATATTTTCTCCTTATTATACATACAATGCTCTGAACAGCTGAAATTCAAATCTGAAAGTTGTATCTTTAGCCAGCATCTAGAAGCACTGTCAGGAGTTTGCTTTAACCATAGTGTGCAGCTGGGATAACCTACAACATGTAGTAGCAGGCACCCCTGTCTGCAGAAGGCTCTTGAGATCAGCAGCTGGTAGTTTTAAGCACATTTACCTCTATTTGGTTAAGCAATGAGTTGTCAAACTTGAAGCCAGGGATTCTCTTTTCACTGCAGACCACTCCCACGTCTTCGGTGTGTTTGCAGTCAGTTACTCCCCAGCCATTTGAAGTGCATGCTGCCAGGGTGGTCTCCTTGCCATTACAGTGGACATTGTCCATCCAAATTTTCCCTGAAGGGGAAAGAAAATAGAACTGAGACTCACGAAGAGGGTAAATCTAGATTGTGCTGATAGGAAAGCAAGTAAGGCTGCTGTGCTCTTACTATGTTAGGGGAAGAGATTACCACTAAAACAAGCTGGAATCAAAAGCTAAGGAACATCAACGATCCAACTGCAAACAGGTCCGCCCCACAGCTTTCCCTTTCCCTTCTCTGCATGGTAATAAAATAATACCACCAGCCTGAGGCAGATCTCCACTGCAGCCCCGCTCAGTGATAACTGACCTCCTCTGATGACAGCCACTTCAGAGCAGCGGTGTCACCGGGTGCCCCCGCTTTGGCTGATTAGACCTTGCCCTCTAATCATACTCACCAAATCATCCCTTCTGTATTTAAGGTTTCTCTTTACATAATTTCTCCTTTATCGAATCCTCATTAACTCTTTTGTAGGAGACAGCTCCAAGTTTTGATTACATGCCCTAAGTTTTTCAAAAGCAGGCTTTCTCAAAAGCTTTAACAAACCACTGTTGATTGGAACCTCCTGTTATTTGGGTGCTCTTTGAAAACCAGTTGCCAGATCCAGTTTCCAGACTGTAATTACTGCTGTCCCTCCAGCAAACCATGTGTGCATATGCACATGAGCATGTACATGCATATATACATATTATATTTTAACAATTCAGGTCCCTCACAGCTCACTTTTAAGATGACAAGACAACAAAAATCAATAGGTGTCACCTCCAAACTTGAGGTCATGTTTTCCTAGCAGCAGCTGAGAGCAAAGGACCCAACAGCATCTCAGAGATTCACCTTTACGAAGTGCCCATTTGCCCTTTGGAAACGTGCTGGGCACACACTGCTGCCTGTGATTTGCCCCCTAAATTGCAGGGAACAAGGGCCAACAAGCAATTTGCATATTTTAGGATCCCAGACACTTTGCTTGTCTGAAGGATAACACATCCTTTGGGCAGAAAGGACTGTCCGACCTTCAGAGCCCCTAGGAGATCCTGTAGCCATTTCCCTCGGCTGTCCCAGCTTTGTTCCAGCAGCCCCAGCGAGTTCAGTTGGTTCATCACCAGACGATGGATCTGCCAGCCCTCGCCATGCTCCCCAAACAGGAGAGCAAAAAGAGTGAAAGAGCTCCTGCAAAGCCTGGCTCCATGGCTTGAGGAAAGCACAACGCGTCCTGCACGGGCTCTCCGCGTCAGGATTTACCCAGCTCTACTCTGGCATCCAGAGAACGCTCACTACTGTGAAACCACGTGGCAATCGCTCTGGTTTGTTTTCAAATGTCACGGCCTCTTTCTCACGCGGAAATCTCCTACTCTGCCCCAAGAGCCAAAATCCACAGCTTGGGACAACATTCAAGGTTTCGCGTTTCAGTCAAGTTACTGTTCAGGCCTGCTTGCTCTTTTCTGGGGAAGTTTATAGGTGTGAGCACTAACGAGTGGTGCTAAGTCAGAGACACACAGCACGTTTATCCCTGCTGCAGGGGAAATAATCTGTCTGCGGGTTACAGCAACAGCGTGCCAGGCTTCGATGTTTGCATAAAAAATTCTCTGTAGGTCAACATTTAACTAACAGCCTATCAAAAGACAACAAGTAAAGCTGTTGAGTTATATACTATTGTTGAGTTATATACTATTACAGAGCTATTCTCTCTCAAGCATTACGATTCTAAGAATTCATTGCTATAACACGAACATTCACCTTTCAAAGTCTTGGTTCAGCACGTATTCGGGCACGAGGTGCAATCTGCCGTTGGCCACGCATCCATCACGTACAATTTCAAAGAGCAGAAAGGATGTACAGTTTGGGGTGAATGGTTTTTCCCCACCAGAAACAGCCTGAGTGTCCAAAAGGATTGTTATAAATATAGTCCTATATAGGACACGAAGCGTGCACACTGCTTTGGGGTTTCATAGGCTAGTCTGCATTGCAGAACATGAGACGTGTTTCTAGAGACGCTAACAGGGCAAAGATAGATTTGTGTAGCATTGCATAGGCAGTCTGTTTAGAACTCAGAGGAAAAAAAAAGAACGGGGGAAGGAGGGTTCAGAGGTCCTATCTGACTCGCCGCAAGGCAATGAAAGCTTGAACAGGGAAATGGACCACCTACACCTTACACTTGTGGGCACAGCTGCCCTTTCGACTCACTGCACTGGCTGCTGAAGAGCCTCCTGCTCTCATCCACCACCAGCTGCTCCCAAGCATCCCTTGCCAGAGCTCACACACCATGATCTTGTCCTTCAGCTCTTCATCTTGTCATTCCTTAACTTATTTCAGTCAAAACAAGCAAACATCTCAAACTGTTTAATCTAATGGGACCCTGATTTAAAGAGACACTGCTTCACCTGAAAGTTATTTCAGTTACATTGTACTAAATATCACTACATCTTAAATTTGACTGACAGATCAAGAATTACTGGGGGTCGGAGAGACAGCTAGCACAACACCACTGCTCTGGAGTTACCTTACCTTCTCCTTTTCCATACTTTGAGCTCGGTAGCCAAGACACTGCCTCCACGTAGCCCAGCTCCCTGCAGACCACGTGCGCAGCATGGATGGAGAAGTCATCGTCGCACACCGTGCCCCACTCGCCGCTGTAAAACACCTCCACTCTGCCTTCGTTGTGTTTTCTCTTCTGCCCTGCAAGCCGCAGCTGGATCTTGGGAACGTTTGCCGGTCTCTGGGGGGGCTGGTACACTTGTGGGGGTGGCTCAGGGTAACCGGGGACGTAGGGCCAGTGTTCATACTGAGCAAAGCCCAGCGGGCTCAGGGAGATGAAGAACAGCATGATGAAACAGTGGTTATGGGTAAAACCCAGGAATCTTTCCATTTTCAGTGCTCACAGTTCTCAGAGCCAAGTCCTCTGCTAGCAGCTGCCAGTCAGTGCAGGTAGGTACCGTGTGGCTGTCCTGAAATGAAAGAAAAGTTTGAATAAAGCTTAGTAACAACACGGTCTTTATATCTCTTGCTTCAGCAGGGAATAAAGCTATGGAAGAGACTATGTCCAATGCCGCCTGTAAAAACCAAAGTCAAGTAAATTATTTCTTGTGGGGTGGATGAACTGAAAAAACCCCAAACCATTAAAATAATTTGTAAGTTTAGGTTAACTTGCTGAATAGTTTCAGCTAGAAAATACTTTTTTCCAGGACAAAATTATACTGGTTACAAGTGCTAGCAATTGATTTCCCTATTTCTTCGCATATCCAGTAGTTCAGTGGCTCCAGCAAGCTCCAGCAAACCTTGGTTCAAATCCTACCAGGACAGAAGTGAACCATTTTTCTCCCTTACCTCCTTCCATAAAGGAGCCAAACCCATCACTTAAACAGTGAAAAACCAGAAAGGTAATGAAATGTATGACAGTAGGATCAGAAGTGAGGTATTTATATTGAAGTCTGTTTTCCCAATATGATGGCAGAAGACTTCTTTCTGTCACTGCGCATCTGGTTTCATCTGTAGAGCATCAACATGTCACTGTACACAGACACTTTGCAGAAGTAGTCTTGGCCAACCTTGGCTGTTCAATGGGGTAGTGGCTAATAGTCTCCAGTTTTTGGTTGCCAAGTCTGCATAGGGACTGACTTGTCATACAAGTGCTACATCCTTAAAAAAACAACTCATATAAGGTATGAGCCAGCAACTTTTTGACTCATCCAGATGCTGTGCAGAGGTTAAATCCCAGCCCTTTTCTGCCCACTTCCCGCTCACGTACTCCCCAGCCTTCACTCAGGCACCCGGCACACGGAGTGGTCCAGCAGCACACGTGGGGGTTGAGGGTTCAATAGTTTCCAAATGAAGCAATGCCAAAGCGCAGTGGGAAAAAGCTCCCCAGCCCTTTAAAGCTCCATCATTTCCTGGCAACCACCAAAGGCGAGGGAGAAGGGGGAAGGACTTGGCTCCAAATCCAGATATCCAGAAGCTAAAATCCTCCAGTATTTTTGCTAGGTCTTGGCTATCCCTAAAAAACGACCAGAAGATCACATACTCGTATGCAGACAGAGCAAAAACACATTAACCAGCCTTTCAAGCTGCTTCATGAGGAAATGTATCAGAAATCCCAGGCAATGAGCCTGAAATTCAAGAGACATCGGTTAAAACCTCAGCTCTGACACTGACCTCCTGTGTGACCTTAGGCAGGTCACTTCCAGGGCTGTACCTCAGTTTCCCCTTGTGTTAAACAGGGCTGGTGATCAAGAGCTTCCTGCTGTGCTGAAGCGCTTTGAGACCTGGGGATGAAAGGCATTTGCCTAAGGAATAGACAAATGAAAAAGAAAGAATAAAGATTAAAAGTCTAGCATTGGACATCAGGGGAGGAAATGGGAAAAGTAAGGGGAGTCTTTACAACAGGTCCAACTAAAACGGACTGTGGGGTGGGAATATATGGCAAAAAATTCTTGGAAAAGAAACATTTGGTTTCAAGAAGCCACGTACTTTCAGATTGGTTTCACAAGACTGAGATCTGTAAATTTTCATCAGGCATTCGGAGAAATACTGCTATGGAAATAACGTATTTTTCAATTCTTCGCAGGTCAGGAGGTGAGGCTGAGAAAGAAATAAAGTCCTGCCCCACGTCAGAGAGAGTCGGAGGGGAAGGGAGGAAGGAAGGAAGTACCACTGCTGTCACAAGGCTGCTCCCCTCACAGCAAACAAAGGGGATTTCCCAAAGCAAATGCAGTCAACGGGGCAGGACACATGGGTTCTTTAAAAATAAAAGCTGCCCGAGTCAAGACACATTCATACTAGTCTGACATGCCTGACTTCAATACCTACCAGCGCTGATTTCAAAAGAAACCTCTCACAACGTTTTTCATGGATACAAGATGGTTTTTAGCCCAGAGGATAAACACACGGGCAGAGCAATTGCCACGAACAGTATGCAAAAATGAGAGTATCCCCCTTAGTCAGATCATAACAGAGGAGAATAACATGTGTTAGTTATCAGCAAGAATACCAGAGGAGGGGTGTCAGACTTCAAGTCTAGCAGAACCACATGCCTAGTAGTTTTCAGAAAAAAACTGCTTTTTCAGTTTTAATCATCTTTAAGCACCCGTTTTGACCTACTTCATTTTACACAGCTATTATTTCTTGCTACTGCATAAATTGGACTTTAAAAGCCTCAGCAAATATTCATCAAAAACTAAGCTGGACTGAAACAATCTCTCTCCAAAAACTACGATGAGGGGTAGCAGGGCCCTGACTTAGCTGAAAGCTACACAGTCAGGTTTCAAAAGAAGTCACTGCAGCTTTCCCATGGCGCACAAGAACGCAGTGCTCTGTTCACACGCTGCTGGGACCGCCTGAAGCGTCGGGATGGTCTTGCTGCGCGGCACACAGCCACAGGAAGGAGATCCGAGAAGGCAAAGGCAGATAACGTGCAGTGAGTAGCCTTACAGTCGCGGCTGAAAGACCTCGAGCTCTCAAGAGCTCAGAGCGCATGTCAGTGTGATTAACAGAATACGCCAAATTCCCCTCTAGGTTACAGTTTTGGCTTACGATACTCCAGAAAGCTCAACAGTAAACTAAATAAGAATGTTTTACAAGAGCAAAGGATCAACAAAGAGCGCGTAACCAGCAGGTCAGCATGTTTCGCTCATCCCTCTTGTGCCAAAGCAAACAACGGCCAGCGGTCAGCTCTGCGCTCGGGTGAAGAGGGGTCTTTCGCGACCAGAGGCCAAGGAATAGCTAAAAGCTGTGCAACACCCGTTTCCAGGGCTGCTTTCTATTCAAACCAAAGCTCTCAAGTCATTTTACTGAAGGACTTCAGCCAAAAGACACAACAGTTTAGGGAAGCCATTCACAGGCAGGATGTAATAGTTACCAGCCAAGAGCGGTGCTCCCTGAGGTGTTAATTAATAAAGCAGACGGAGCACCGCAAGATGCCAGAGCCTTTCAGAGAGTCACAGCACTGGGAGACCTCCTGGTCCGTGAGCAGCTGTAGGGGAGGAGGAGGTGGTTCACAACAGACTTCCAGGTTACCTTAACTGATACCAAGATTAGTCAGGGAGGTACTAATTTAGGTTGTAGTAAATACACTAGGTGTAACTTTCACTCTTGGCAAAGCCTTGCTGAGTCAGACTACCCAGGAGCCCCAAGACTCCAACAGGCAACTGCAAGCAGGTTTGCTTTCGTTCCCCAAAAGCTTAGAGACTTTTGGAGTCAGGCAAAACTAATGAAAAAACCACAGAAACCAGCCCACCATTCACTACAGAACCAAAGAAAACTTGGTGAGGGAGGATAAGGTCGCCTAAGAGCCCCTTGCTCCGCAGAGGCAGGTTTGACTAGCAAAAAGGCATTTTAACAAGCCTGTACGAACACAACCCCACACTTTTGCCAAGGAAAACGACTCAGGGCGCGCACGTTTTTGTGCTCAGGGCATAGAAATTTCATTCAGAAATGTCCCTGCTAGTCTCATTCCACCTGTGGAAGCAAATCCTGGAGGAATTCTCCATAAGATCAGAACAGCAGCAATCCTACGGGCTTCAGGAGACAACGCTGCAGTGTGTACTAGCAACCACAGTCCACTTTTCCTGCAGGTCATATTACCACCCACGGCAAAATAGTTACACATTCAGACAGCAAAGCTTTCACAGTGTTTGCATCGCCCCAGAAATAAAACCTTCCATACCCAGAGGTCTTGTTTATTGAGGTCCTTAAGAGAAACTATTCAGACGAAGTCACGATGTCAGGAAAAGCAGAAGCCAGTGGAATTTGAACACCGGCATATTTTAGTACTTCCACAAGAAGCAGCAGCCCAGGTACGATGGGGAAACTTCAGGAGCCCAGTGTGCCCAGCAGTGTCCCAGGAAGCCACCCAGTACAGAAAAGGGCTCTCAGCTTTCTGTCTCCTATCGAGATGGGTCAGGGGGGACAACAGGGAGCTACAGCACCAGAGAGGTTTGGGCATCTTCTGGCAGAGGCATCCGTCCACACCACGTGGGTCAGTTCTTGTGAGACCAGACAAGCAGTAGCACTGGACTGGTCTAGAGGACTGATAAAGCAGCACAGAAAGTTTTACACCCCCTCTTTCACGCCACAGCACAACAGCCACACGAGTCCCTCATTTATTCTTTCCTGGCTTCTCCTGAAATCTCTCTCCTTAGCTCCAAGACTTTAGTTTTACTGCATCAGTATCCAAGAAAACTATCACTGCTCTCCAATGACATCACTGATGGTTCAGCAACAGGCTCACTCCAGAGCATTTAAAGAAGAAAACACAGACAGTATCAGATAGGAGCCAAATGCACACATACACACAGATTTATTGCAGCATCATTACAAGCCACAAAAAAATTTAATACGGAAAAGTTTAAAGTAAACCCACTCCTCTGCTGCTGTGACCAAGATTTGGACACATTTTTTCCCCAAGTCTCAAAGAAAACTGCAACAACAGTTGCCTAACAACAAATCTGGGCTTGCATTTGCAGGATGTTTGGTTTGTGCTGGCTATTCCCTTTATTGTAGGGCTCATTCCTCCCCTTACACCCTCTCTTTAACAGCCTCCAGATTCATTAATGACGTAATCCTAAAAGTATATATTCTGGTCTCCCCATTCAAAAGAATCCAAGACAAAGCATTAAAAAACTATTGAAGAAAGTCAGTGGAGAAGCCAGGAAAATACTCCAGGTCTCCTGGCTCCCCATCCTGTACTTCAGGCCATAAGATGATTCTCCATCAGCACATTAACATGTAATTTAAGGCATGCTCCCGCTACCTGCTGACTCAGCCCTTTTCAGGACTCCAGCCTAAAGTCTTGAAGGGAACAGATGGACACAGGCCTACAGGGAAACGTGCAATAGAATCACAGAATCATTAAGATTAGAAAAGACCTCTAAG